AGTGCTGCATTTAACCACTGCGCCACCTCGGCACTGCGAAGTCTGGAATGCAGGAGACTGAAGATAAATCACTTGGAAGAAGGGGGAAAAGAGTGGAAGATGTGCCCTAATCTTGTGCTACTAACTGTGAAATAACACCAGGATCCTTCTAGGTTTCCTTTCACCCAAAACCAAATCTTCACTGCGTGTTTGTCAACAAAACATTTAATCAGAACTTTTAAGACATAGCGGTTCATTTGGTTTAATCATGACTAAAACGAAGGAAGAAACCATGGCACTGCAAGCTAAAAAGTTGTTTGCATCTCGGCTTAATAGGCTGCTACAAATGTGATTTAGTAAAGTTAATATGTAGGATAGACATAACCAGATAAACTCTTTCATTCAATCATCTATTGCCAAACACAGGTCAATGATATCTGGCCCTCCCACGCATCTCACAGCTGGATCTAGAAAAATCTAAGAATTTCATCTAATTATAATATAATATAAAAAGTTTAAAAATCAAGAACCATCTAGTAAATTATCCACTGGATAGCAACTGCATTTTTTTTTAAAAAAGCAGCTTGCAAATATAGCTCATAAAATTTACGTTTCACTGCTTTGCTGCATCGGGGTTCTTAACCCCCATTAATGATTTTTTTTTTGTGGCTGCATGCACCAGAGTGTTTACTTTAAATATAAAGCTGTGAGGATACACACATTTAAGAAGATTGTGTTGTATTTATTCCCTGTTAATGGTTAATGGCAAAGAAAACATCAGAAGATTGACTTTGGACATTTACCTGATATTGTAACATTTCTAGCCTTTTATCTGTGAATTCAAACAGAGCCAGCATTGTCTTCATCATATGAAGTGAATTCACCATGAAGGTTGCCATGTCAGCAGACCCCAAGTTACTGGCAGACATAGTACACATCTGCAACAGAGGATCCAGCACACAAGACAGGACCTAGAAGAAAGCAGGAAGAGCAATATAACTGATTCAGAGCAACCCTTGGGTATTTTCCCATTCTATTACTCCCCAAAAGAAGGAAGCTAATGCTGGGGGGGTGGGGAGGGTTGCCGACCTTTGAACACAATTTCAGATCTTATAAATAAGCACTTCCAGCCATTTGCTTTTCTAATTTCCACATTTCAAGCCAGTGTGTTTGCCAGCTGCTTATGCAACCTCTTCTACATTTAGTCATGCTTTATTTGTTAATGTCAGAAAAGGATGTTGCATAGGAAGGTTGCGTAGGCATAGCCAGTCCGAAGCAGAAGTGATAAAAACATAGATAGCGGATGATGCTTGTTGGTGAGGCTTGCAGTGTCCAAGCTATTTGGGGGGGGGGGGAGCTTGAGGCACGGTTCAAGTTGCAAGAATGCAGTTTTAAGGTAAATGTTCAAAACAACCGCCTACTCATTCAGCACAGAGACAACACAGGCTGCTGGCCAAAGTTGGGTATCCTTTCCCCCATTGGAAAACTCAACAAACATTGACCAAGTTTGCCTTTTTTAAGACAGTGGGCTTTCCCCACTCGGAATGGGATCAGTATGCTTCTTCCAAAACTTGAATAGTGGATCATTGTATGTCTGACCTAATCTTATCATTTCTTGTTTTGAGGTGTTAAAAAAAAATCACCNTAAACATATTTTGAAGTGTCACAGTCCAGCTTTTGCCTTAGAATGCAATTTCTGAAGTCTCTCATGTTATAAAACACTACCAAATGTACTATAGCAAAATATCGGGATCTGAATCTGAATCTGAATCAATGTCATGTCCTCCTTAACATCACAAGAAACTCTTATTGTTCTGTAGTGGATTAACTAGAAGCAAGTAAAGAATTAAATTCTAAAATTCCTTTACATTATAGTGAAATATCAGACACTGATGGGTTTCCATTATTTATTAAACCCACAGACCAACCCCCTCCCACACACACACACAAAATCCTGAACTGAACTTTAAGAACATTTGGCTTTCTTTTTGCTTTTTTTCCTTTGCCTTATTTCTAAAATTTTAGATCGAAAACACCTTGGAAAACAAAGTAGCCCTCTTATATCTAGAGGAGCATCTTATAAACAGTGATAACACAATGAAAAAGAAACTAAAAACCCACTCTCAAAATCCTATCCCAGTTTTCCCCTCTTCTCCTGTACAACACAGCTGAAAATTATTTATCTCACCATTGCAGCTTTTAATGACATAGAATCCATACTGGGTACATTAGCCAAGGGACCCTAATATTAAAGGAGAGGTAAATAAATGAATAATTTACACAGAATCAGTGTTTTAATAAAATCAATCTAAAAACTATTTTGCAACAAGCCCTAAAACTGTAGCATACTATGGATATTTATGGAATCATGCAATGATTATAGCAACCGAATTTTGGAGAGGACAAGTGTCACAAATCTCTAGATCAAAATTTGAAGTTAGTAACTTACTTATCTGGTGAAAGGAAACCAAATTAAGAGTGCTAAACAGACAGCTATTGACTTTATGGAGGACAACTGATGTATAAGTCCACTGACTAATGATGTTTTTGTGGGTCTATTCATGAGGAATTGTCTCATGGAAAGGAAAGAAGAATATGATTTTTGTAAAGGTTCCTAAAGCAAAATAAAATGTGAATTGAGGAAACTTTAGGTAGAAAGAAAGTACAATCTAAAAAGAGAGAGGAGAAAGATTATCATTCAGGCAATTTGTGAGAATTTAGAATGCAGGGCATGTGATTAAAATTCCAGATGATCAAAACTGGGAGATCAGGCAACTCTCCTAATCATCCAGTTTTAAGAAGGTCAGCGAAACACATTACTTACAGTAGCCTGGACCACTTTATAGCAATAAACTAGAATGTGAGTTATATAATTCTGTAGTATGACTTATTAAACAAACCAACAAAAGCAAAATTGAGTAAATCATAATCAAAAACCTCTTACCAGCTTATGAATTACAAAGTTACACTATTTTTCACAAAGTGGCTTGGTGTTCTAAAACTAAAATAATGTATTTCTTTATTCAAAAACTGCCAAGGATACCAGTTAACCCCTGCTTATCTTTTTGAATGGGAGGTTAAAAAAACCCAATATGAAAACTACAAAGTAAATTCCTGGTCATATGTGGGTTAATTAAATGGAGACAAATCTACCTAATACAAGTTAAAACTTTAAAACTCCACACGCCAAAATCCTATCTATTCTTTTTAAGATACCACTGCAGATGTGTCTTTTTCAGGTAGATCAGGGCCTCATGACTGCCTTAAAAACATACCTGTTGACATCCCTTCGGGGTCTCCTAAAATCTTATGAATAATCTAGCTTCCTCCCAGCATGTTTAAGATTGTGTCCATTTGGAGTTACTTTTTATTAAATAATTCTACCTGCAAGCCTTATTTAATTTGGTTGAAGAACAGGTTTAAGAGTATGAAAATAGAAACCATATTACTCAAACTAATTTTGATAACATGAAATTGGGTCTTGTCTCTCACCAAAATTTCAAAAGTCTTAAGATATTTCTGTTCCAACAAGAACCTGCTTGGTTATTGATTCTTAAATTCTGAATTATATTTATTTCAATATATTAAACTTTGCCTCTGTGAAATCGTAACCTTGATATCTCCTGTTTCTCATCCATGCTTATGCTAACGTAGAGGAAAATGCTCTAGTCTATCATAATTGTTCCTATAAAGGAGCATGACGATACCTCATTGATGGAGGAATGCAAGTAACGTTAAGAAAAAATAAATAACTCAGGAAAAGCATAAAAAACAAATGCAAGATAACCCTGTCCTAACAGTTTTTGTTTAGTGTTAAGAAGAGGGTGAGGGAAATTCCTGGAGGCTTTCAAGATTCTGTCATTGTGCCAATAAAGAAAAATAACATTCCTAAAATCTTTACCCTGTATGCTTTCCTCACCTGGCCTTCCTTAAAGGGCTGATCCTTGCAATGTAATCTGCTTGATTGCATTTGACTCATTATAAATAAAGTAGCCAGAAATAGATAGCCTTCCATTAGGCCATGCTTGTAATTATGATGAATTTGCTCCAACAAGCAAGGATTCTAAGCCGAATTGAAAGCAATGACTTCACTAGTTTACAAATGTAAACTTATTTGAATATATTAGTGAAGGATGAGAGAAGAAAAGAAGTGAAAGAAACGAAGAGTGAAAGTAGAATTCTGCAGGAAGAGGAAGGACAAGCGTGTATGAAAATGGATTAGAAGATTGGAAGCCACCCAGAAGATGGGCAGCTATATTGTTTTAAATAAATAAACCAACAAATAAGGTAATCGTACCAAAGAATGAAAATTGATACAAGGAAAATGGTTACAGAATGCTGTTTAGAACAGACATAAAAGTGTGATGCTACAGAGTGCTTTAGGTCCATGAGTGTGAATATAAAAAGAGTTTATTTTTATTTTATTATAGAAAAAGCAACCCGCTTGAATTATGGAAAGTTTTGTGTGAGTGTGCAGCTGAAGGCTGGTTGTTAAACTTCCATGATTGAAATAAAGTATCTATGAACATAAATGGAATGTTTAGTGAATGGTTTAACATCGAGTAGGCCCTCAGTTAGGTATACACAAAAATAGAGGACGTCCCTTTAATTGTTGAAGGTATTTATGGATAAACATATAAAGAATGCTTGTAGCAATAGAATAAATGTGTTTGTAGATGCATGAATATACTGTACATGCACTTTTGCACACAATTACAGTGTTAGCTGAGGACTCAAAATTATTTGTAAGAAACTTGGGGAAATGTTTATTATTAGAATGGAAAAATTGATAGAAACATTGTACTATATATAGCAATAGCAGTAGACTTATATACCGCTTCATAGGCCTTTCAGGCCTCTCTAAGCGGTTTACAGA